CTGCTCATGGCCCTCAGGATATATACCTTTGTGCAATGTAAGAGATTTATCCAGACATCAAAGGAAGTCATGAATCTTTTTGGGCCAAAAGATCAGGACCAAGGAGTCCCCCTAAATTAAATCACAACCACCCTAAAGTCTTACTAAAAGAAAAGTTTGCCAAACAGAGCACTGGGCCTAGAGTCAGAAAAACTCGAGTTCAAATGTGACCTCAGATATTTACTAGTATCTAAAATGTGCCCCTGGGAAAGTCACATAATACATCTGTATTTTGTTTCTCAGTTTCCTGTAAATGGACCAAACAGGTTGTTTCATCTGTTTGCCTCAGTTTTCTCATCTATAAAATGGAGATATAATAGCACCTACTTCTCAGATTCTTGTGAGGATCAAATGGCTTAACAATTATAAAGTGCTTAGAATAGTACCTGGTACATAGTAAATGCTATGTAAATGTGTTAGGTATTATTGTTATTATTATTAACCTTATTTTCCATAATAATTATTATAATATATAATTATCATGTTATTGTAATATTATATTATTGCTGTTGTTGTTATTAATGTTATAGTGATTAGTTGGTCTCCAAGGCTTTAATTAATCCTGAGTTACATGTGTTCATACTAACTCCCAATTAGGCTTATATCCAGGTACGTACAGTATGATGTACATAGAGGTATGTACATCAATAAGGTATGAATGGCTATACTTCTTTGTTCTAGATATCTTAGGTGAGCACAAGCATACATCTTAGACTGTGCAAAATAACAGTGTGAGTGTGTGTGTGTGTGTTTGTGTGTGTGTGTGTAGTAACTACACAGTAGAATAAAGATGCTAAATGCCCCACACAGTAGACATGTACATAAAAGGATATGGATACTAGCCATTGCTTTCGGATATGAGATAGGAATAAGCCTGTATATGGTATCCACCGTTCTAAACAAAGCTTTGGTTGGTGACTTCTTGGCTAGGCATGGTTGTCAATAACTGTCCCTGCCCTAAGCAAATGGCTTAAATTAGCTCTCCTGAGAACTTAACTTTAAAACATTCTACATAGATCATTACAGAGTATTTAGCAATTGAACCCAGAAGCCTCAGGGATTAAAAGCTATTCCATTTTAGCAGTGGATGTGTGAAGTGTTGAAGTTTTTTAACTGTGGCTTCTGAAGATGGGAATCACAACTTGGAGGATATCTGTAGCTGCTACTCCCCCCACCCCACCCAATAAGGAAAACGTCCTGTTCATAATAGCAGGAATTCATCTGTGGAGTTCCCTCCTAAAGTAACATTCTTTTCCTTCTTCTTTTCCTACTCATTCCCTAATATGTCAACATCCCATTTCTCTTATGAGAGTTTATTCACATCCTCCCATCATACATACATACATACATACATACATACATACATTCCAAGTCATCCAGAGTTAATGCTGGGGCCATGACACCACCTGTTGAGCTTCATACGTGCTGGGAGGTGCCGGGGGTGGGGGGTTGCTTGAGAGGGAGGTGGTGTTAATTCCAAACAGAACATGTCTTCCTTCTACATGTAAACAGTCATCATCAAAGAAGGGTGGCTGTAGCACAGAGTGTGGTGAAGTTACCAATATCCTTATCTATAAAATAACAATAATCTAACTCCCAGAGTTATTGTGAAGATAAAATGAAATAATATTTCTAAAGCAATTTGTAAACCTTAAAAATGCTATATAAATACTAGCTATTAGTAGTAGTAGTAGTCTATTTGTATAGGTGTATCATACGTGGCAGTAATAATAATTATTATTATTAATAATCAACAATAATAACAACTTTACAAATATTTTCTCATTTGATCCTTATAACAATCCTGGGAGGTAGGTGCTATTATTATCTTTATTTAATAGTTGAGGAAACTGAGGCAAACAGAGGTTAAATGACTTGCCCAAGATCACAACAGCTAAAAAATGCTTGAGACCAGATTTGGACTAAGGTCTTCCTTATTCCAAGCCCAGAACTTTCAACTGTTGTACCACTTAACTTCCCTGTCTAGTTTTGTTTCATTGCAAATATTGTTATACATTGTAACCACATCACATGAGTGTGCTTAATTGACTATAATGTCACAAATGGACAAATGTGACCATTTATGACATTGTTCCTATGGTTCTATATGCCACTATAACATCATTTTGCCAGATATTGTATTACAGAAAACCTTTAAATGGTTAAGTCATTCAAACAAAACAATACAGGCCTCCAAAAAGGGTTTGCTACACAAAGTGAATTCTCTGCCTGTCATGTTGATCTACTTACTTATTTTTTGTATTTCTCTATTTGGAATTACATTGAGTCAAATCAAATACTGTTCCTAATTTGCTTAGTCTTAGATTTGATCACATCCCAATTCCCCCCTCTTATCTCTGTCCCCCTGCCCTGCTCCCCAGTTTCCTACTCAAGTTTATCAACATTGCTGTATAATTTACCCTCAACTCTCCCAGGGATTTAGGGAGATTTGAAGGGAGTGAGACAGAGAAGTTATTTGCTTAACTTGGCAAAATAAAGAGAAAAACACAACTTTGTATAATTTTTGAGAACCCAAAATGAATCATAGAAAATATCTCTGATGTGACTTGTAGAGATTAATAAAATGGAATAAAATGGTAGGAATTTAATTTTGTAAACTCATACTCTAAATATAGGCTGGCAAGACTGTGTGTTTGAGAATCCAATATTGACTTGATAACCTCAGTGTTGGGCAAATAGGGATATAACCTTTATCTATAGAATCTGTAACAAAATCTCCCTAGGAAACAAAAGCCCTTCAAATAAAAGATTGGAAAGATTGCATATGTTTGGGAGTCAGTTATGTGTGACTGTCCTGAGTCAGAAACACTTGAATCTTTCTGAATGAGGCAGACCTGTGTGGAGTATTTTCTTTAACACAAGATTATTTTGAGCAAGGACATAAACTGTTACAATTTGTTGCAGTCAAGGTTTAGCTTTCGATCCTAAACGGATGTTATAAGCTTCAACACAAATTAAGTTCATTGTTGCAATTCCATAGGGTAGTTTATAGATAGGGGAACTTATTTGTTTGTTTAGTTATTCATTCATTCATTCATTTATGTATTTACTTATTTATGTTTTTTGACAGCAAACACTATGCATTGAAATAATATTTCAAGATATGGCTGAAAGACGCTATCAGGATTAAACAGAAATAATTATAGACTCTCAGTTGTCCCAAGAAATTGGTAGAGTTTTAAAGGACCGTAGAGATCATCTAACTGAAACTCTTCATTTTATAGATACAGAAACTAAGGCCCAGAGAGCTAAAGTGTATTTTCCATGGTCACATATCATTTTAGTACCAGAACGGAACCAAGACCAAGGCTGGCGGATGATAAATCTAATGTTCTTTCTATAATTTTGCTGTATTAATATTATTATTACTACTAACAACAACAATAACTAGTATTTATATGGCAATTGAAGATTTGCAAAGCTCTTTATATATGTTATTTAATTTGGTCTTCATAACACCTTAGGGCTAGCATCATGCCCCTTTTGTTGCTGTTCACTCATTTTCAGTTGCGTCTGACTCTCTGTAACAACATTTGGGGTTTTCCTGGCAAAGACACTGGAGTGATTTGCCATTTGCCATTTCCTTCTCTAGTTCATTTTTACAAATGAGGAAACTGAGGCAAACAGGGTTAAATGACTTGCCCAAGGTCACAGTAAGTGTCTGAGGGCAGATTTGAACTCAGGAAGGTGAGTCTTCCTGACTCCAGGACCAGTATTCTGTCTGTAGCATTACCCAGCTGCGCCCCCAAAAGATTCCGACCAGAAAGTAGGAGTGTGGAACGTCTAATCTTACTAGCTTGTTGTTGTTCAGTCTTCAGTCATGACAGACTCTTTATAACCTTCATGGACCATACTGTCCATAGGGATTTCTTGGTAAAGATACTGGAGTGGTTTGCTATTTCTGTCTCCAGTGGTTTAAGGCAAAGAGAGGTTAAGTGACTTGCCATGGGTCACACAGCTAGTAAGTATCTGAGGCCAGATATAAATTCAGGTTTTCTGAACTCCAGGTCTAGGGCTCTCTCCACTGAGTCACCTAGCAACAGCCTAGAAAAACAGATTAGGAAAATCAGTGTGAGAGAAATTAAATGACTTGCCCAGCCACTAAATACAGACACTAAATATCTAAAATAGGATTTTAACTGAAATCTTCCTAAGTCTAGAGCTGATAAGCCATCTCCAGTCTTTACTCAGGACTTGATAAAAGTTCAACACTTTTTTTTTAAAGTTTTCCAGCAATGCATATGCTAAGCCTTTATCATGAATACACACACACACACACACACACACACAACATATATATATATATATATATATCTTCTTTGTTTGCATCCTCAGATTGCAAAAATAAACTAGAGCAGAACTCCTGAGATTTCTGCCCTTAAAAAGCATAGTTGTTGTGCCTTCCTGTGTTGTTCCTGTAAATGTGTTGTTGTGAGGGGATACATTTGTTAGCTTTATTTGTTTGCTTCTTTGGTCCCTTGCGCAATCTTCTTAAAAATATATCCTGGTGTCTGGGGTCCCAGTGAAAACTATCCCCTATCTTTGACGGGGGACGAAATTGAATATCCTCATTTACTTAGGTACTAATAAAAAATATTCAGTAGACTGAAAAACAAAAAACAAAAACTAATATTTATGAAGCAAGAGCTATTAATAAGAAAAAAAAACTTGGAAAAATCTAAATTTCTTTTTAGTTGCAAAGAATGACCCATTCTTAAAGTAAAAACAACAAGAATTCTCCCTTTGAATCTCAGGGGTTACTTAGTCCAACCCATAAAATAGCAGGAATATCCTTTTGCAATCCAGGTCATTTCTACTATTTCTGTCTAATTGATCTCATATCTGAGAAGTATGGGTACCCTAACTCCATAAGTTAGGTAGGTATAGGAAGATTCCTTTCCCTAATTTTCAAATTGGATCTTTTTCCTCTGTTTTTCTAGGCTGACTGGCATGAATCTTCCTTCTCCTGTTATCAGTAGCAAGAATTGGTTAAGACTCCATTTCACATCTGACAGCAACCACCGACGAAAAGGATTTAATGCCCAGTTCCAAGGTAAGAATTCTCTAGTCTGAGAAGGTAACTAGCCATGGACATCTTGGGCTCTGCCTTGCTGCTGAAGATGCAGGGGACCAAGGGAGAGAGTGGTGCTGGGAGTAGCTCCATTGAAATCTCAATTGTCCTTTTGGGAACTTCAGGTATTTCTTAGGTCTATAGTCAGTAATTAATTGATTCACTGATATTTTGTTTAAGTGATATTGGAGAGTAAAAGTCTGGTAAAACAAGTAAAATTTTCATAGTTTCCAAGAGAAGTAGTCTGTCAGTCAATAAACACATTATAATGAATGTTTGATATTTTTATTCTCATGATTTTTGTCAGGATAACTCATTGGTCATAGTAAACACTTTTTTCAGTAACTGAAAAGGCAGCTGTACACATGGACATCACCAGATGGTCAACATCAAATCAGAGTAATTGTACTTGGTAGCCAAAGATGTAAAAATTCTATGCAGTCAGTGAAAATGAGACCTGGAACTGACTGTGGTTCAGATCACAAGCTTCTTACTTTGAAATTCAGACTTAAATTGAAGTAGAAAAAACCATCAGTCCATATAAGTATGAGTTAATATATTCATAATGAATATGAAGTGGAGGTGATAAATAGATTTAAGGGATTAGATCTGGTAGACAGAGTGCCTGAAGAACTACAGACAGAGGTTCACCACATCGCATAGGAAGCATCAAAAAAAAATTCTGAAGAAAAAGAGGAGCAAGAAAGCAAAATTGTTGCCTGGTAAGGCTCTACAAATAGCTGAGGAAAGAAGGAAAGGGAAAGGGGAAGGAGAAAGGGAAAAATAAAGGCAACTGGATGCAGAATTCCTGAGAACAGCAAGGAGAGATAAAAAAGGTTTTCTTGAATAAGCAATGCAAAGAAATAAAAGGAAACAACAGAATGGGAAAGACAAAGAGATCTCTTCAAGAGATAATTAAAAATATCCAGGTAATATTTCATTCGAAAATGGGCATGATAAAAGATGAAAATGATAGGGACTGAACAGAAGCAGAAGAGATCAAGAAGAGGTGGCAAAGAATATGCAAAAGAATTATACAAGAAAGATCTTAACAACAGCATGGTATGGTTACTAATCTAGCGCCAGACATCCTGGAGAATGAAGTCCAGTGGGCTTTAGTTAGAAAGCATTGCTAAAAATAAGGCAAGTGAAGATGATAGAATTCCAGCTGAGCTATTTTAAATCCTAAAAAGATGATACTGTTTAAAAGTGCTGCATTTAATATTCCAGCAAATTTGGAAAACTCAACAGTGGCCACTGGATTGGAAAAGATCAGTTTATGTCCAAATCCTAAAGAAGAGCAACACTAAGGAATGTTTAAATTACTGAACAATTACACTCATTTCACATGCCAGCAAGGGTATGCTTAAGATTTTTCAAGCTAGGCTTCAGCAACATGTAAAATGAAAATTACCAGAAGAGTAGGCTAGTTTTCAAAGAGGCAGAAGAACTAAAGACCAAATTGCCAACATTCTCTGAATTATGGAAAAAGCAAGGGAGTTCCAGAAAAGCATCTACTTCTGTTTCATTGACTACACTAAAACCTTTGACTCTGTGGATCATAACAAACTATAGCAAGTCATTAAAGTGATAGGAGTACTCAATCATCTTACTTTGTCTCTTGAGTAACTTGTGTGCAGGCCAAGAAGCAATAGTTAGAACTGAACATGGACCAATAAATTTGTTTAAGATTGAAAATGAGTACAAGGCTGTACATTGTCACCTTATTTATTTAACTTATATGCAGAGTACATCATGCAAAATGCAGCCTGGTTGAATCAAAAGCTGGAATTAAGGTTTCCTGGAGAAATGGCAATAATCTCAGATATACAGATAATACTATTCTGATGGCAGAAAAGAAAGAAGCATTAAGAAGCCTCTTGATGAGAATGAAAGAGGAGAATATCAAAGCTGGCTTGAAGCTTAATGTAAAAAACAAACAAACAAACAAAAAAACCCAACTAAGATCTTGACACCTGATCCTATTATTTCATGGCAATATAGAAGGAAAAGATATGGAAGCAGTATCATATTTTATATTCTTGGGCTTAAAGATCACTACAGATGGTGACTGCAGATATGAAATTAAAAGACACTCGCTCCTTTAAAGTAAAGCTATGGCAAATATAGATAGCTTATGAAAAAGAAGATATATTACCTTGCCAACAAAGATCCATATGGTCAAAGCTATATTTATTCCAGTAGCAATGTATGGCTATGCAAGTTGCACTGCACAGAAAGCTGAGCACTATAGAATCCATGCTTTTGAATTGTGGTGCTGAAGACTTTTTAGAGTCCTTGAAGAGCAAGGAGATCAAATCAGTCAATCCCAAAAGAAATTAACTTACACTATTGACTGGAAGGTAAAATACTGAAGCTGAAACTTGAATAAACTGGCCACATAACAAGAAGACAGGACTCATTGGAAAAGATCTTGATGTTGGAAAATATTGAAGGAAAAAAAGAAAAGGGTCAGCAGAGGATGAGAGGGATAGATAGTGTCGTGGAAAAAATGAACATAAACTTGGATTGACCTAGAGAGGTTGCAAAAGATAAATAGGCCTGGCATTATATGGTCCATGGGATCACAAAGAATAGGAGATGTTTAAATAACAACAAAAAGCATACTATACCAAGGAAATCAAAAATGATTCCCTCATGTCATAAGTTCTCGTTTCATTCAATTGGAGTTAAATTAGCCTGAAAGCAGATTACAACTAGTGACCATTTCCAGCTTCTACCGCATAAGCTCTAGCCTTGCTCCTACCACCAAGAATCAGAGCCTGCCTGTACAACCATTGGCTCTCATAGGTGAGCTTGCAATTTATTTTGCTCAGAAGGTTCCTGCCATTTCCAAAGTATAATGCAGCACACATACCCTCATACTCTACCTCCTTTCCAACTCTAGATCCCTAGGATTTTCTTCCCTTATTAGAAAATAAGTTCCTACTAATGCACGCTTGGTAGAGTTGCGAACTGATCCAACCATTCTTGAGAGCAATTTGGAACTATGCCCAAAGAGCAACCAAACTGAGTATATCCTTTGATCCAGCAATGCCACTAGTAAGTCTGTATGCCAAAAAGATCATAAAAAAGGGAAAAGGACCCATATGTACAAAAAGATTTATAGAAGCTCTTTTTGTGGTGGCAAATAATTGGAAATTGAAGGAATGCCTATCAATTGGGGAATGGCTGAACAAGTTGTAGTATCTGAATGTAATGTAATACTATTGTTCTATAAGAAATGATGTAACAGTTACAGCAGCATTGTGCAATGACCAATTTTGATTGACATAGCTCTTCTCAGCAATACAGTGATCTAAGACAATTCCAAAAGATTAATGATAGAAAATGCTATCCACATCCAGAGGAAGAACTATCCAGTCTGAATGCAGATAGAAGCGTATTTTCCCTCTTTTGTTTCTTTCTCATGTTTTTTACCTTTTGTTCTGATTCTTCTTTCACAATATGTTTACATAGAAATATGTTTAATATGATTGTACATGTATAGCCTATATTAGATTGCTCACCATCTTGGGGAGAGGAGAGGGGAAGGAGGAGAGGAGAGAGAAAAAAAATTAGAACTCAAAATCTTGTAGAAGTGAATGTTGAAAACTATCTTTACATGTAATCAAAAAAAAATACTATTGAGCAGGGGAAAAAAAAAAGTAAGTTCCTTGAGGGAAAAGACTATGTTGCTTGCTTGTTTTTCTACATCAAGAATGTTAAATAGAACCTAGAACACAGTAAGTGCTTAATAAGTGCATTTTCATTCATTCAATCAACTCTTGTCCACTTTTTACCTTATTATCTTATGCAACATGTTCCTCTTCTGTTTACCTTTCCTTATATTTCCCCCCATTTTTCTGTATCTTCCTTGTACTAATTGAAACTTCGCTTTTGGTTCAGTGCAGTGAAAATAGGTGTGAAGGATAAAATAGTGCTTTTTGTTTTCTGAACATTCCAAAAAAATAGGTTCCAAGGTCATGGATTCTGTATAACTATCATACAGAAATAAGAACTCTTCATTCTGTTTTGTATAACAGAAAAATAAGTTAGGACTTGAGTTTTATGGGTTTACTGCAACTGTCAGATTATCAAACTATCCTACTCTCAATCTGATGTAAGCATATTTAAAACATGAGTGTGCATTCCCCATCTAACCAAAGGTGACTTACTTTGTTTAACAAATGTGATTCTCAGCTGGCATTCTTATCATAGATTTTTTTTCATTGATAGATGTTTAAAACTGTTATCTTTGTCAACAAGCAAATCTAAGCTCATAAAAATTGAATTTATTTGACTTTTATGTCACCAAAATATATCAGGAACATCCTTTTGTTTGAAATTTTAATAAGGGTAGATAGCTACATTTTCATAAGTATGCTATATTTATTATCCTATAATAATATAATTGAAAAAGATTTAATATGTTATGGTTAAAATATCTTCTCTAAGGATATGATACAGTATAATACAATACCAAAAAATAAAAAGTGCTATAAGATTATGGAGCTAGAGCTATAAAGGACTTCGTTTGTCATCTAGTCTAGATAAATGAGTTCAGTTCAAGGGAAGTTTTGACTTGTCAAAGTCAGACAGGTAATAAATGTCAGAGAAAGATTTGAACACAAGTCCTCTGATTTCAATTGATACTATTTCCACTGTACATTTAATTGCCCACCTTCTGCTGAACATTTTCGGAAATCGTTGGAGAATAAAGGTTTGATAATACAGTCTCTACATTCAAGTTTACAAGTCAGGAGACAGTTACTGTATAATGGAAATAATACTGGCTTGAGAAAGAGGAGACTTGGATCCATACCCATTCATTTGATTAACAGTTGGGTAGGGTTTTCAGGGAATACAATGGAAAGGGATAGTAGAAGAGCAAAGAGAATTCTAGAATTGAGCTGGATAGGAAGATGAGTATAAGGAAAGTCCTGGAAATGCTGTGAGGGGGTTCAGATGGAAAGAGCTTT